CCTGACATTCTGTGATTCTGTGATTCTGCAGCTGCAGAGAACCTAAAAATGCCCTGAGAGACACGGCCTGCATCTCCGTCAGTGCTTATTGACAAGTTCAGCAACAATGCTTCTGTTGTCAAAACTGGCAGCCGTCTCCCCAGGCACATCGTGTTAATAAGGGAGATGGAAGATCATTATATGAAGAGCTGCACAACTGACTGGCCATGACAGCTCACCCTGGCACGCACAGGAGCGTGTGGGCATGAGAGTATGACAGTGCTTTTTTTTTTTTTGTCTGATAAACTCCATCGAGGAGGAGCCTGGCCTAGAAGACTCTAAGCCTTGCTGGTTGCAAGCAAGGACCAAGGGCACACAGGCTGTGCTGAAGCAGGCGGTCTCTCTGACTAAAATGAGCTGAAAGAGAGCATATACTTACTGTCCCACAAGCAGGCAGCATGTAGGAGCATACCTTTCCTCATAAGCCCAAACCCCACAAGAATATTTTACCTGTGCTACAGTAGAGTAGCAGAGGTCAGACTTTGAGAGGGGAAGAAAAGGAAGACACATGACCACCACAAATATCTGTTGACATATTAATAAAAGCTGTAAATGTACCACAACTGCAGCTGGGAACTGCATTCTCCAGAGGAAGTCGTGTGAGAGAGGAGCTTCAGGGCTCCAGTGCTTCCAGTATTAGACTGAGAGGTTTAAAGGAACTACCTCTAGCTGCTTATCCTGAAAACAGAGCTCTGCCCTGGAAGGTTAAGAATGAGCACAACTTTCCCCCTGAGAGGGGATTTCCATGACTGGCAAGAAAAACGGCATCCTTGCCCACTGCCAGATATAGGGCATTGATTCAGAAGCAGGGACTTTCAGGCTTTCAGTTCTCCCTGTTACACATTTAAAAAGTCTCAAAGGTATAGCACTTCCTTTCATGTGCTCTGAAAAGAAGCCAGCTATGCTTCCGCTTTTAGCTTTGTTGTTGCTCTCCCAAAAGGATATGAATGTGTGGAAGAAAAAGATCACCATTGGGTGAAGTGTTTTTAAACAACTGGAATTGGATTCCTCAGTGACAGCTGGATATTTGTTGTCAGCAAAATTCAAAGTTCCCAGGAGGCATGAAAAGTTGTGTCCAAAACCTCTTATTCAATGACTGCAGATTATGACCCTTATCAGTAATTGCCTTGATCAGCAATGATAATGAAGTAAGCAAACACCTGAAATCGAAGCATTCTTTTTTTTTTTTTTGCCTCTTTTTTTTTGCTTTTTGCTAAAGCTCCACAGCTGTGTGTAGGAGGAAAGAGGAATTAGAAGCAGCCTTCCTTGAGTATGTGATATAATTATTGCAGATATCAGTGCTGGGTAGGTAGGAAAAAAAGGATGGAAAAATCCAGTCCAGCTCCTGGGCTTCTGTCTGTCAAATCTCTGTTCCAGCTTTGTGCCTGTGGTTGTGCAAGTGAACCTTTTGCCTGGCATAGAAGGCAAAATGATAACCTGGAATCAATATGCATTTTTAAATTTCTTGATGTTTCTTTCAAGAGGTTGCCCATGACCAAGTTATTTAGGAAAAGGGACACTGAAAGACGCTGGGGAAACAGTAACTCAGAGATTTTTCCTACTGTTAAGACACTTCCCTAACTTAATATGAAATCTGGCAGCAAACGTCAGCAGTCGGTAATGCTTCTCATGGCGGTAGTAAAACCAGGGTCAAACCCAGCACATTCCAGGGAACCCAGCCTTTTACAGATTTCTCAGTCAGAGAGTTTGTGCTGTAGATGAAGTGCACACTCTAAGAAAGCACATGTGTATTTTAAGTAGTTTTTAAGAACTGCACTATTGTGTTTCTGCTGGAAACAGTCTTCCATGTTTTGCTGTGTGACATTGAATTTTAACTTACAGCTTGTTTTGTAACTCTGAAAACGGGTCCTAGATGAGCTGAGTTAATCTCTTCAGCAATCTGGAGCACTTTGGTTTGGGCTTAGGGTGCTGGTCACTCCATCAGCTGTGGCAGCCCAACACGTGCCGCTTTTGTTGCTGAGAGTGCAGCTCCCATCTCGGGAGCGACACTTGCTGAACGATGTCACTAAAATTGTTTTCTCCTCACTCTCCCAGGTTGCCTCTGTACCTGGCTTCTCTTTTCATAAGTCTCCTGTTCCTCTTGGTGAATTTAACTTGTGCAGTATTGGTGAGGACACAGAATTCAGAGAGAAAAGTCATTGTCTCTGTCCGGGTGGCAATTAATGACACGTTGTTTGTGCTGTGTGCTGTTTCGCTCTCCATCTGCCTGTATAAGATTTCCAAGATGTCTTTAGCCAACATTTACTTGGAGTCCAAGGTAAGGTACATTTTCAGTTCTTTTCAAGTACCTTTTGAGAGAGAAGGGCAGCACGAGGCTAAGCCACACAGTTCTTCAGATCTTCTGAGAGCTGGAGGGCTTAAACTTCACAGCTTACACTCAGCTGGCCATCCTGCTCTATATGTGAATTAAATACTAAGTGCTAGCAAGGGTGCTTTTGGCTAAAACCAGTGACCCCAAAATCTGTATTTTGAGGCAGAGGTTACAGAACTTATTGGCTGGAGTTTCTCCGAGTGGATACTGCTTTCACCAGATCCCTTACTGAAGCCCACATCTTTTCAGTACTGCTACAGACAAGTGGTCTATACTTTGGGATCCTTCAGCTTGTCAAATTATTGGCTGAAGTTAAATGTTTAAGGTAGCAGCATGCCGAAGAAAAGTCAGAGGAAAGCGAATCTTCCTTTATACATTTGCATACTGTCTTGTGGATAATGAGAATGTGTTTTAAAAGACTTTAATGCATTATAAAATCAGCCAAATGGGGAGAAGGGGAAAAAAGCCTCTCGTACTACTCTACAAAATGTTCTTTAAAGAGATATTGTTAGGTTTACAGCTTTGGACACAGTCAGCGGTCAAGGAGCTGGGTGGCATCACATATGCCTGCAGTATTTATTATAAAATCAGTGAAAGTGGTTTTTGTTTACAGATAATGAAAGAAAGTTTTCAAAGGTCTGGCATTTTCAGGAGATAGTTAATTCTTAAAATGAATTAATAGCTTTATCCAATAGCATGCTACCTTTGCGACGACAAACCTTTCAAAAATGTTTCAGCTACTGTTTAGAAAATCTTATAATAAGATTCTTCCATCCATTTACTTAACCAGATGAAAGGAGTATTTTCCCATTTAATCAAATCTGGCCATACTGCACAACAACTGAAAGTTCAGGGCTGAACAGGAGATTTAAAAACACAGCTTAGTTTGTTTGTTTCTTTCAAGCCTGTCACTTGCTGACCTAAGGGCATGGGCAATGGATTATTTTTACTAGTCAGAAAAGTTTATCAAGTGCTGCAAATCACAGAAGTGTAAATCTCTGTAGCAAAGCAGTGTTAACCTAAGGGAGGCTTTGGTAGATTACTTTGTTCCGGTTCCTCCTCCTGCAGGAAACCTGATCTTCTTTACTTCAAGCTTTTTCACAAAACCAAACAAACTCTTAACATTGTTGCAGACAGGAAGGGACAGGACACTCATCTGATGAAAGTTTTAATGTGGAAATGAGAATTAAAGAGCGCTTTGCTCCTTTCTGCTGACCTGAAATGGGAGTTCCTCTAGGGAATTTCAGTAGGATTTGACTGCTTGTACTTAGGGATACAGATGGCTGGAGCTAGCAGTGAAAAAACATCCTGGTTTAATCTGCTATTGTTGTGCTGAAAAAGACTAGCTGAAGAAGAAAAATTCATTCTCTACAGTGATGTGGCAGAAGTAGTGTTGGAGATGACACGTGCTCTGCGGTGCAGGTAGACGGGCATTGGTGCTGGCAGCCTTCTAGTTGCATCTCCCATCTGCTGGCACCTGTCTCCTGACCACATGTGAAAAGGCGCGCACCTCCATGACCTGGCGCAGTGACCAAGGCTACGACAGCACCAAGGAGGCTCTGTGCTGGCCAGAAGCATCGTGTGGTGGGACATGCTACAAACTTGGGGCTCCCTCTCTTTTCTGTAGGGGCCTGTTACAGAAGAAGCGTTCCTCTGGCTTTACTTTTACTGCTGTGCTCTCCTGTCCCCAAACCACTAAGCACATTGGACTGGTGGCAAAACCAGGATGCTTTTACCCAGTTCTTTGTATTTGGTGGGATTGAAGTTTGTTAAATCTCAAGCATATTTAACTGTTACCTGTTGAAGAATGACAGCTGTCTAGGGAAACCTATATTGGGAAATACCAATCCCGTTCTACTCTTCACTTCTGCTATCCCCAGTCTATAAATGCCAGGGAGCTGGGATATGATATGTGCTAGTCAGTGCTTCTCTCTGCTCTCTCACCCTCGGTTTCTGTGACAGCCTCACTGACTTGCTCATACCGAGGATTCATTCCTTCCTTTCTTGCTGTTACAGCTCATGTGCTGGCGTCTCAGCCCGCCACACTGACCCTCCCCACCTGACACAGTGGTCAGACGTCTCACTTACTCCTGCTGCTCGATGTCCATTTTTCTCACTAGGGCTTAAGAACTGTTCTGATTTCACACTTCATAGTCTCATTCCTCCTCTTGTGCCCAAGCTCCCACTGGTGGACTGCCCTGCCATGGTCACTCTGCCCAGGGACTGAGCCTCTGCTTTGCCTCCTCTGTGTTGATGTTGGATGAGGCAGGGTGTTCTGTCCCTGTCTGTGCTGCCTTTAACCAGTGACTGTTACAGACTGCTCAGTACTCAGGTGCACAGCAAGCAGCTGTAAAACGATGCAAGGTTGCATCATGCTAGCTAGCCAGCATCTGATGCAGGATGCGCTAGAGCTGAGGCACAGCTGAAGGCTGAATTCTGTTGCTCCATCTGACACCAGCTGTGTAGTTCTCACATGCTTTCATTGCTCTGAAAATAGCACTTGTACAGTAAGTTGTAGCAATTAGTCGCAGCCGATCTTAGTAAGGGCTGGAACTGCTACCATTGCCTAGAAACCACTGTACTGATAAAATACAGGAATATATGTAGTGTAGGATACAAGGATCAAAGAAGGAAAGAGAAAAAAGTCAGTCACATTAGACAGAATAGCCGGACAACCCTCGAAGTCCATGCAAAGCAGCGTTCTTCCTAACTTCCCTTATGAATAATAACCTGTGCTTAAATCTCTTTCAGGGTTCATCTGTCTGTCAGGTGACAAGTATAGGAGTGACTGTTATACTACTTTATACCTCACGAGCCTGTTACAACTTGTTCATCTTATCGTTTTCCCAAACCAAGAAAGTAAATTCTTTTGATTACGATTGGTACAACGTATCAGATCAGGCAAGTATGAAAATATTTGCTAATGAGAAAAAACTCATTCTGTATGCGATGGCTGATTGCCTAAATGCTATGACAAGAGGAATTAATATATTAAAATCCTATAATTTTTTTTGTTTATTCAATGCACTAAGATTGTTTTGCTCCAGGAATGCAAATTTCTGGTAGTTTCAGCATAAGGAGGAAAAAATCCCACCTCAGTGCTAAAAGAAAGAAGTAACCACTAGCCAAACAATAATAAAACTCCCAGTCTTTTATTTACCTTGATTTTATTGTTAAAGAAAGCACGACTTTTATTAAAGAAGAGAGGTGCTTTGTCCATTAGAAAGAATGGACTGTACTTGGAGAAGCACGAAAATGCTACTTGACTCCATTGAAATGCTCGGTTCTGAAGACATCATCAAATCTCCCGTTGCCATCCAGGGCTTTGGAGTTATTTACCTTCCTTCTGTAATTAGCGTGGTAACTTCTGATAGAAGAAGTTCTGCTAGAACTACTTCTTTAGATTGAGATGAGACTAAGGTTCTTCCCAACCTTTAATTGCAAGTGACAGTTCAGATTGAAAACTAACAGTGACAGAAACACTAAAGGAAATAGCAGGGAAGTCTTTGTTGAACTTGATGAAATTTGGGTGTCCAGCTCCTTTCCCAGCTTTGAAGCATGCAGTTAGATCCCAGTAGTTTTCCAGCTGTGTCAAGGCTAGGCAAAATGGCAAGTCTGGATCTGGACCACGAGTATGTCCTTGTTTGGCCTCAAAATCCCAGAAACTTGACATCACTTCAGGATATAGTTCAGTGGTTGTGGTAGTGTTGAGTTGATGGCTGGACTTGATGATCTTAGAGGTCTTTTCCAACCTTATTGATTCTGTGATCTCCCCACCCTCTCAGCAAGCACCTGCAGACCAAAAGCCCCGTTCCCAGCCACACGAGGGCCTTGTATTGCCGGAGTGGCCAAGCAAACCCGGAGCTGTCAACAATTTTCTGTTGAATGGCAGGTAAAACTGCAAATAAGAAACAGGTAAACAGTAGGGTAGGATTGCCCAGAGGACCTCATTATGAGTTGAGCAGGGTCTGTCAAGGGACCACGAATGAACCCTGCTGCAGCGCAGAGAAGAGGGGCGCAGCTACATGTTGCCACTCTGCGTAATTAGAACACACAGGTTTAGGCAGAGGGGCACTAGATTGTGACTCCTCTCCTGAATCAAACATTTTCCCTCTTGTTGTTGGGGCCTGGAGTGTTGCTGCTGCTCCTGCTGCCCCCTTGCAGGGGGCATTTCTTGTGCTGACGCCTGCAGTCTGGAGTAACAGGGGCTGGAACTGCATGGCCAGAATACCTGGTCCCCTGTGGAGGCAGAGGTTGCTCATAGGGAGCTCACTGGAATGGTTTAGGCTTCAGGTCACTACTACTGATTTTTGAATGTCTGAGCTGTGGCATTAGGGTTGCTTGGATTTGGGAGTAAATGATTTGAGCCATGTGTGAAGGGCCTGGGACTAAGGAGCAGGTACTCGGTTTGTATCAGAATCAAAAGTCACTTTTAAAAGTCCAGGCCACTGTTTGTACTGTGGTGCTGCCTCAGGTCACCTGTCAGAAACATCACCCTTTTCTCTCCTGTACAAAACATGCAAAAGGACAGGATTTGCCCTCTGCAGCTGTGGTGAATGGTGGAGGGGAAATCCAGAGAGATGTTCAAAGCTAATGCTCGAGTAACAGTATGGTTCTTCAAGCTATAAATGTGCACCAATTTGAAGGGATCCAAGCCTTAATTTTTAAAAGCCAGATTGCCAACAATGCCCTTGAAGACCCAGGCATTGATTGTTCCTTTACATATTAGTCACACTTGGAAAAGGACTGGAAAACTAGTTTCTCATTACCTGGTCACTTGATCAAATGGTTGCTTGCCAGGCTGTTAGACTGGGGAAACCCCTGCATTAAACTTTGATTTTGCTGAAGTAAATACAGCAGGAAGAAGAGGAGGGAGGAGGAAAGGTAGGAGGAAAGGGAAGTCATGTACCCAACAAGATAGCATATTGATTTTTTTAGTATGCCTTTAATCATTAGCCACATTAATCTGCCTTTACTGAATGGAATTTCTGGCTATGTTGTCAGGCATTTCAGCCATTTAAATTTCCTAAGAAGACATGTTTCCTCCTGTGCCTTTAAATGAGCTGCCATCTTTATTTTTAAACACATTTCTCTTTGACTTTTCAACAGGCAGATCTGAAATGTCAGCTGGGAGATGCAGGCTACATAGTGTTTGGAGTGATCCTTTTCATCTGGGAGCTCTTGCCTACTTCCTTGGTTGTGTATTTCTTCCGTGTCCGAAACCCTGCAAAAGATCTAGTAAGTCAAAGTTGCTGGTGGTTTCATTAGAGTAATGTCTGGGCAGGTCGGGTGAGCTCGGCTTCTGGAAGAACTTTTGCTTCTTTACATTTTGACTTCTCTTTTTTAGTGTTTCTTTGGCAGAATAAAAGCAAGCCAAACTTTGCATTTCTTTATATGAACTTCTTGTGAAAGAAGCTCAACATATTTACCCAGAAGGAAGACAAGGTGTTTCTCAGGCAGTTTACCTTGAAAATCGTAGATCTTCTTAAATTTAAGGGCTGTCTTCCCATTGAGTCAGTACAGTACTTTACTGTAGTCAGTACAGTACTTTACTTGAGTCCGTGGAAAAGAAGTTTATTATCCAAACTTGGGATTTTTCATCACGTAGCAGTGAAAATGGTTGTGTGGTAACTGTCCAGTGGCCTGTAGAATGATAGACTGAATCCCTTCAGCCCTGTACCCATGGAGTTTTTCCCATGGTAAAGACCAGTAGCCATAATAAGCACTTGCCGATGTTTTTGTTTGCTGTTTCAGCAGAGCAGAGGTTAAGCTGTGAGTTCTAAGGATAACTCCTTGTAAACATCTGGGTAATTAATAGATGGACAATCATATTTTCATAGCTGTAGGCAGTGTCTCCAGGATGTGCTGGCTGACAGGCACATGGGGACTACCAGCCTCTAGGGGAGCATCCACTAGGGGGAATATCAGCACTGGGATTGCCAAGGTAATGTCTCTTTTTGTGGGCCAAACCAAAGCTCCTATTCCCCAAGAAGGATGTGAATGGTAAATTCATAGGTAAAAGAAGCAATCAATAGAATAACTTTTAGATTTCAGAGACAGTGGTAAAGCTCAGCTGAACAAGGACTAACATAACCCTAAGGAACCCCCACGGTCTGTTAGTGTCTATTACCAAAACATCTCAGGTACACTCCTGTTTAGGAGTTAGCAAGGACAACTGCAAAGAAAGAAATCTTTTAAAGCCCAGTCCAGTGGTACTACCCTTATAAAAAAACACCACAGAGAGATCTCACTTCATTTAAAATTAGTTTAGTAAGGCTAGACCTGGTGGTCAAGTCTAGATGGTGTGGGAGAGATTCACAAGAGAATGAAAATGAGAGATGTGGTCTAATCTCTCCTTTCAAAAGCTGATCACAGAAAGACTTGTAATGCTACTCAGATGAGAGCTCAAACAGGCAGTATTCGCTCTCAGAAGTCAACAAGCACTGCAGTAATCCCTATAATACTATATTTTTGCATTGTGATTTGCAGAAAGCCTTAACTCTCCAACTTCATTAAGATACAGTTCAAAAGAGCCAGTCTGTCATGTCAGTCCTTTTAGGGTAGACATTATGTGTCATAGTGAATAGGTCATATGTGGATTTTTACTACAAAAGACAAATATTTATGCTAAAAAGTATCATGGTAAGAGGAAAACTGGAAACAAGGTTGGAAAGAAACAAATGGAGGCACTGTAGCAAGGCAGAACTCAACCTCAGTGCAACTGTGCCACAAGAGGGAGACCAAGGGCCACAGGACTTCAGTCTCATGTCAGTCAAAGAAGGCTGTCGCTCTAGCAATCTAGCGGTTGAAAATACTTAGCCAGACAGCATGGGGTTAGACTTAAAACAAGCCCTCTTTTAATTAAAAAACCCTCAACAACTCTGATTTTGCAAAATTCCAAAAATGTCCTTTATTTTTAATATGGAGCAACCCCAAGAAATAGTTGTTCTTTCGTTTTACGATTCATTCAGGACTTCAGAAACAGAAAGTCTGAGTGGAGACAGCCTGCATTCTGCACTGCCCAAGTGTAAAGCACCACTCCACAGACGGCTGTAGCCTGGATCGAGCTGTCTCTCTGCTTTGGCGCTGGCACGGGGTAACCGCAGCGCAAGGTCCTTTGCCTTGCCATACCTTCAGCCAGACAAATGTTGGGGAGATGACAGAGATGGACCTATTTTTACTTGTCAAAGTTATGTAACAAACATCTGAAGAATAAGGGGAGATCAAACTGTTCTCCTGCTTCAGGCCAAGGAGATGTCATCCTGGCTTATCAACAGGTGCGGGGAACCATGTTCCATGGGGTTGGAAGCAATGGATCAGCAGAAGAAGCTCAGCTGGGTCCTAGATGTCTGTCTGCTGTTTCAGGAGTCAGACTGACCTTTTGAATTTTGCACGTTTTCTGGTTTGATTCACAGGGAAAGAATAGCAAAATGTTTTGTAAATGAAGGAGTTACATGTACACCCCTTTTCCTGTTCTATCAAAAGATCTTGCCTTGGGGTTTGACCCTCACAGCACTGTAGGGTAGATACGGAAGTTGCTCAGAGAGGCACTAAGGAGCTTTTCAGCTGTGGTTTCATTAAGCAGGGTGCTGAGGTCCACTATGGTCAGTTCCTGAGGCAAGGGAGGTAACACACCAGGAGAGAGGGTTACAAATGCAGAAGGTAAAGCCAAATCTCTTCAGGTGTATCATATCTTCCAGCTCCTCAGCTGCATCCCTACTGCTCCCATCAAGGCAGACAGGAGCAAAAAATGCAAACTATCCAGGATGGACAGGGATTCAGCAGCTGGGTTAAATCCATCCTGGAGGGGGGTTTCAGAAATAGATCCTCTCTGTTAGCTAGAAGGAAGGGAAAAGAAAAAAATGTTGAGATCAGTAGACTTATCATGATGCTGGCAGAGAAAAATGGAAAATGCACAAATATTTATATGGTCTACAGCAAATCTAAAACTGCCTGTTCCATTTTGGAAACTGGGAGGTAAACCTGCAGGGACTTCTTTTTGAAGTCAGGCACCAAGCTGTTTATCTGTCTGTTCCCAGTACTGACTGAGGTCTTCCTCCCCTCAGGCCAATGCAGGAATGGTCCCAAGCCATGGCTTCAGTCCTCGATCTTATTTCTTTGACAACCCTCGGAGATACGACAGTGATGATGATCTAGCATGGAATATTGCACCGCAGGGGGCACAGGGCAGGTGAGATATGAGGGAACCACTTGCTTCCTGTAACAGAAACTCGAGGAGGAAGAACTCTCACAGACCGCAGAAGACTGATGTCATTGTCTAGCTCCAAATGTTGCATCAGGTCCAGGGGGGCAGGGAAAGCAAAGGGGGAAGCTAAGCAGCAAGTAAGCACTGAGTGACTGTAGGGATCCAGGGGCCCCATAGAGACTACAAAGACGTGAGACTGGTTGTGTAAGTTCGGGATTTTAACAGCAGGCCACTCTTGAAGGAACTTTGGGTTGCACGGTTCACCCTCTGGTTCTTCCAAGAGTGGCACAGGCGCAAAGCAGCTGCGTGTGTTGTCTGACGCTGCTCAAGGGGGAAAAGCCAGCGCACTAGCGCTGCTGCTAACCACCGACGGATCCCTCCTACGCGACACAGGAGGTTTAGGTCTGTCACTGACAGTGCTGGGACTTGGCAGGGGGTAGAAGCACCACTTCTAGCGTTTTCAGATGCCTTCTGGAATAGCAAAGCAGGAAGGGGAGGGGCTTCAGTAGAATCAGGAATGGGTTGAGAACACTCCAATCAAAATAATTGACAGACCAGAAAAATAAATAGGTGCCTGAACCCCTGGTTGGGGGTTTATTTTTGCACTCCAGCGTGAGAACTACCACCTTTATGCAACTGCATCTTGCCCATGTTCATCAACCTGGTAAACATGAAGCAGCTGCAGAACCAACCTGGCAGTCACTAAAATTCTTTGGGTTTCTTTTTTTAAGTTTCTCTCCAGACTACTACGACTGGGGCCATCAGAACAACAGCTTCATGGCTTATATAGGATCCCTCCAACAAGATCCAGCACTGGACACAGACCGGCCGAGCCCTATTTAACTTCAATCAACTCCAGCTTTCTTGGACATTCCAATATTAAAACAAATGTTCTGAAAAACAAAGCTTAGCCATTTTTCTTCACCTTTTGTTATTCAGAAGTGTTCCTGTGCACACATAAATGAAGAACTTTGCCACGAGCTTTTCATAGTTCAAGGAGAAGTATAAGCTAATGATTTAAACTTTGAAGACTGTTCTAATTAATACCTTGTTCTAAAGCCATGGTATTTTTGGCTTTGAATAGAGTTGTTAGAGAGTATAATTTAATCATTTTATGCTCATTTTAAAAGAGCAAATTTCATGAAGTGAAATGACAATTATTTTCTAAGTATTTTTATTTTTACACTGTGTGTTAGGTTAGAAATATGTGATTATGCTTAATATACTGTAAACACTGTATACTGAAGGGTTTGTTCAAATGCATGACAGTGGCGATTCTTACGTGCACATAAAAGCCTGTAAGGGAAAAATATCAACCCAATTAAATACTGTCTTTTCAAGTTATTGCTACATTCTCAGAGCACAATTTACTCTTTGGATCATCGCTGCTTACTCAAGTGGACCCAGGGAAAAAATTCTGCGTGATCAGCAGGTCAACAAAGCTGTGCTTCAGCCTTGTGTGTTCAGGGATAAATTTGGCGGTTTGTGGTAGAAATGATGGATAAATATCATTCTAGTATGTGACATTTGCACATAGCAAGCCTAAAAATAGTTCCTGTTAATCTAAGGCGAGCAGGAACTCTGTGTAACTCTAGTTCCAATCTTTTCATTGTGCCCAGTACTGACTGGTGTGCTCTACTGTGAAGAACTCTGCAGCCCCAGCATCTTTCTCCTTCTCCACATGAAACAAATACTCTTAGTTTAATCCACATTGCTCTAAGAAAAAAACCCATATTTCTTACAGTAATCTTCACTGCTAGAGAAGTGGTTCGTTTTGAGGCATGCTACAGCATCCCCAGTGGACAGGCTTGATGTTTTCCTTGTATTCCAGGAAGTACAAGAGGTAGAGAATTCTCATAGAGGTTTCAGAGAGGAGATACAGGGAAAAAAGAAGGGCTGGGGAGTCAATGTGATCAGGTTGGCTTAGAAGCTGAAAGTGCAGCAGTGCCGCAGGGTCTTTGGGTTTGGGGGCCTTTGTGGCACAAGCCCTGCCTCTGGCAGGCGCGCAGTGCACCCTCCAAACTGTGTTTGCCCGCCAAAGCTTCCACTGGTTTCCTCACTTCTTCAAAGATGTCCATTGAAATAAAAAAAACCCCACAACTGAACTATCAGCTAGGTAAAAAAAAAAGTGTCACAGGGTTGGGAGAAGAACAGAAATTTTATTAAACCCTTTAGAGTTCTACAATCATGTTTGTACAAAACTGCCTGAAGACCTAGTGCAAGAAGAGTCTGCAGGAATTACATTTTCTTAACAGTAGAAATAGCTGCACAGCAAAAAATTAATTATGAGAACTCTGTGCTTAAAACAAGCTTAATCCGTATGCCACAGTACGCATGCAAAAAGTGGAATTACAAGTGACTATAACGAATCATAGTAATGAATTAAACACTCTCAAACACAGGAGATTTAAAGAACAATGTGAAAGGTAAGATCTTAAATTTAAATTAAATTGCGACAGTTATCATCTGTAACTGTGTAACAGTTACTTACCCACCTAAACTGGGGATGAAATATGCATATAAATTTTTAGTAAGATAACATGTTAAAAATGTGTACAGAGCTGCAGAAATCTTTTAAGAGCCCCACTGGGTGAATCAACCCCCCCCAAAATATGTTTAAAAATTCATTTCATGGGCTATTCTGAGAAAGGGGACAGAGCATACCAAACTCCATTTCAAAATAAGCCTTTCTGCCTCTTAAAACAGTTGGACTTAAACAGTGGCTAAATTTGGCCATATTCACCCAGAAACATTCTGCAGCGTGCATTTCTGATGCGCTGGCACACGGCAGCACCCTGTAAACAGCCACAGCTACACGGGTTCTGTTCCTCTTCTGAACGGAATCGAAGTGAGAATGAAGACACCTGCTCATCATCTGGAGCTTAAAAGACTGACGCGCAAGTAAGTTACGTAATTTCTACTAAGCATAGCTGAAAGGTAAATGAAAAGTAAAACGAAATTCAAATGGAAACCCAAAAATTACATTCACAAAAAGAAGTTGTAGCAGAAAATACTTTAATTCGCATTTTATAGATTCAAACATAGCAAAGATTCAGAGTGTTTAGATCTCAGTAAGCAGTTCCAACATTGATTTTGATTTTAATAAATACTACATTTTAAGAGGCTGGCTATATGGAAGAATTGTGAAGTGATGAATTGCTGATCCCAACTTTATAAACATGAGCATCTTAGATTATTTACAACATCTTACAGGTCATTTCCCAGAAAAGCACAAAGGAAGGTCGGATAAAGGCGACCCAACCATCAAAACACAACTCAGGGAAGCGTGGCACAGTGTTCTTCATGCATGTACGATGACATAGAGCACAGATCATCAGCTGAAGCAGGGAAATGCTTCTGTTCTTCCAGCTTACACACGTCTCTATTTCACCGTGTTAAATCTATATTCTCGCCTTCCTCCTCAAGCACTGAAAAGCAAGTTGTTCAGCAGCAGCGCCCTACATTTTGCCTCTGCAGTTTGCACCAAGTCTCTTACCGCTTCACATTAAGTCTTCCATGACTTGGAAAAATGAAACATTTTTGTCTCCGTCTTCTCACGACCTCTGGGATTACAATCATTGTGTCATTTGCACAAGAAAATGTACTTTTACTCTGAAATGAGTGACAGACAATGTTGACAAGCTGATCTCCAACAAGGAGCTGAAATTTAAAATAGTTTACAGGTCTCAGACAGTGTAACTAACCTTATTCAGTATAAAAACGGATCTGTAAATTTCTAAAATTTAATTTAACATATAAAGAACTAAGTCATCTGACTCACATGGCAAAACTCCAATAGGCAGCATAGTCACAGAATGTACATCAAATAGAGTAAAAAAGATGGTGAGAGGAAAATTGTTTCAACTAGATTTGCAACTGGAAAAATCTTACGTCCTTTTTCTACAACGCCAGTGAAATGAAATGTCTTCTGTATTTGATCACCAAGTGAGATGTACCTTCAAAAGCAAGAGAACTTCCCTGGATGGAGAATTTGCCGTTCAGTTGCATTCCTGTGTATTCAGGATGCAAAGGAAAAGGAGAAAAGCTTCCCATCTCTTGATGTTCTTACCCAGCAGCAAGAACCTTGCTGGCGTTGTGCCAGTGAGGGTTGTGAGGAGCAGGAGCCCAGCATGTGTGTGCTTGAATCTCTCATCTGTCCCGTGAGCAGGTGCATGATGCCCGTATGTGACGCTGCTTCAGTGTCCACCAATTTTAGCCAGGCACAGGCGGGAAAAAAAGAAAAACAGCAAGTCTCATCCCCACAAGAAGGTTGGAAGCAATTCACTTTCCCCACAAAACAAGGGGGGAAAAGGGAAGAAGAAACTCCTCCGAGATTCTGGTCCTTCCTGGGACAGCGCAGTACAACACAATTGTTGTTCAACTAGAAAATCCTGCCTAAAGCTTTAGGCACTACAATGTATAACAACAGAGAGAAACCCCAGCTATACAGCATTCTGCACACAAGGGAGCCCACAGGTTCTCGCCCTCACAGGTCATTCAAAAGGCAAGGAATTAACAGCCACCTGAGCCCCCCCCACACTCTTGCAATATAAACGATCACCCAGAAGAACGAGGTACTCGGGGGTAACTCCCTTGCCAAACACAGCTGTTCCCATCTGGGCTACTTCCCTAGATGCCCACTGAATGGAGAAAAAGAAACTCTAGGGTGCAAATACAGAGCTCGGAAAAGACCAGACGAATACACCTAAAAATCACCCGCTCTTCTCCATGAACTAGGAAAGGAAAGTCTGTGGATACTTGCTCAGACCTGAGTGCCCACAGGCAGGAGAGGCTGCCAGGCAAGAACGCAACATCCTCACGCTGGCACCAGCTCTCTCTGACCCCAGGTTAAATATCTGCTGCTTTAAACAGGAACTTCTGACTGGATACCAGTTCACTGCCAATTTGTGTAACTATCACCAAAACTTTGTGGGGGGTGTTTTGGGTTTCGTTTTGTTTTTTATTTTATTTTTATTTTTTCTCTCATTTAGCTTACCCCAGTGTGACTCAAGAGGGTTTACTTTCTTGAGAATCAGTACTTTTTTGTAATAGCAAGTGTCAGCAGGATAGCCTATTCCATTTCCAGTCAGGTAGAAATTTGAGGCTAGTCTGGAAACAAAGGACAGAAAGTGTGTTCCAGCGGTCAGAAAATCTCAGCCGTAAAGGACCACATCATGGAGGCCAATAAAGTTACAATCACTTATATAACAGGTCACTAAGTATCTGGTAGGGTGAAAAATGTTTAAGAGCACTTTATTTTGTGAAGACTTACTTTTAAAAAAAGAGATGCATCTAAACTGGACCAGCACTTCCTACATTCATAAACCCTAACTTCACTTTGAAACATGCTGGTTTTAAAAATAAAATAATAAATTATTACTTCATTTTAAATTTAAAACAATACTTGGTTGCTACTGATCAGTAACGACATTTCTGAATTCTCTTTTGGACAATGGTAACTTATCACTGACATTTGTGGACAATGATAGATGAGTAATTTCTTGTTTTATGAAAATTATGTTATTAACATACCCGTTTTTTCACGCTGAATATCCTGTTAAAGAAGATACAGTTAGGGATTGCATAGATAAGAGTATGCGGTATTAAATGTCAGTGTGATTATGAATTATAAAAAGCGTCTTTTTTTTTTTTTTAAGAAGTGACTAAAACCCCAAAGTCTCACTTTTTGCGCTGACCTTTTAACTAAAATATAACCCATAAAGAACAAATCTATTTCGACAGCTCAAAAATTGAAAAGTGCTATTTTAACATTTTAGACATTAGAAAAAGACAACTTCCAAACTTGTGATTACAATCTAGAAAATAAAATGGGGCAGATGCAAGTTTGATTGATGGAGGCTTTTCAGCTTGCAGCACTCCACTAACCACCTCCCCCTGCCCTGACCCCTAAGCAAATGCAGGGAGACACGGGGCTGCAGAAAAGTCACTTCCAACTGTGCCGCATCAGAAACAAGGTAGTTATTTTAAAGAAAAAAGAAAATTCTGAAAAGCAGCACATAAGGGAAAAAAAAAAAAAGTTGATATCAGCATGATACAAAGGAGCTCAGTATGAAATCAAATCTTCTGCTCAGTAAACTTCCTATTTTTAAAATAAATTTTTAAAATTTTAAAAAGTTTTATTATTATTACAGTGTCAGAACTCAACAAAAGACCCTTCTTTTCCTTTTCTGTTTTTTTTTGAGGGGGTTGTTTGTTTTTTCTTTTTTCCTCTCTTTTTTCTCCCTGCTTATCTATTTTTTTCTTTTGTTTTCAAGAGCTAGAATCAGCACACCCACTCCTTGGAATATGCTGAAGCTCCATCCTGGGGAGAGGCGAGAGGT